TTGATCCCTGGCCCTAGTCAGAGCAAATGTAGGAAGCAACCAATTGATGTGTCTCTCATATCGATGCTTCTCTGCCTCTACCCTTCCCTTCCACTCTCTAAAAATCAATGGAAAAATATTCTCGGATGAGGATTACTAAAAATAAAAAATATAAAAATATATACTGTAGCTGAAACCGGTTTGGCTCAGTGGATAGAGCCTCGGCCTGCGGACTGAAGGGTCCCGGGTTCTATTCCGGTCAAGGGCATGTACCTTGGTTGCGGGCACATCCCCAGTAGGGGGTGTGCAAGAGGCAGCTGATCGATAACTCTCTCTCATCGATGTTTCTAACTCTCTATCTCTTTCCCTTCCTCTCTGTAAAAAAATCAATAAAAATATATTTTAAAAATATATATATACTGTAAAAAGAACAATCCTTAGATCTGGTCAAAGGCCTGTATAAGTTGCAGCACAGTATAAATCAATATTACAGCAAAAGCCTAGTGTTCACAGTCTCAAATTCCTTGAGCCTTCCCAAATCAATTCTTTTTTTGCTCCATTCTCTTTGCAGTCATCTGCTAAATAACATTGCCAGATAACCTACACCACTCATTCAGTTAACTCTGAAAATGGGCAGTGTCTGGCCAAAATCTGCCATGACTGTAGTATATGTTTAAATGGCAGAAACTCCCCACCCGAGGCTTAAGATTGGAAGCCTTGACTCTGCTGTCCTGACATCTGATTAAGAGGACATTTTGAGTGCAATCTTACATTTTAACTGACCTTCCTGACTGCATCTCAGGAGTTTAGCAGCAGCAGCACCTGAGTATTAAAACACCACCCTGATTTCCTGGGTTGTTTTCCTCCAAAACTTTCACCAAGCTTTCCCCACACAGCAGCCCACTCGAGGCCAGGCAATCGGCTGCCATTAAATAAAACCATTAGCACCAGTTTCCAACTGAAGAGTGAGTCAGCTCCTGCTGTAAAGTAGTCTCCTTATTGGTCTCTGAAGCTGGAACCAGGGAGGGTGTTTCAAAAGGCAGAGGGCAATCCTGGGTCCACATCCTGATCTACTGGAGATTAGATGAAGCAGCAGGCACCACTGCACAGCACCAACCAGATTTCAGCTCTCAACTGAATCAGTATGAGTGGCTACAAGGGACACTGAACTCCTAGGCCATCTTCCCACACCTCACCACTTCTGCAATAATCATAAAAGCCTTGTTCTAAAACACATCATGGGCCGAAACCGGTTTGGCTCAGCGGTAGAGCATCGGTCTGCGGACAGAAAGGTCCCAGGTTCGATTCCGGTCAAGGGCATGTACGTTGGTTGCGGGCACATCCCCAGTAGGGGGTGTGCAAGAGGCAGCTGGTCGATGTTTCTCTCTCATCGACATTTCTAGCTCTCTATCTCTCTCCCTTCCTCTCTGTGAAAAATCAATAAAATATATTTAAAAAAATAATAATAAAAAAAATAAAACACATCATGGGAGAAGGAAAATATATAGTGCTAGCAGCTGAATAGCTTCCCCTACCCCTCTTCCTGAAGGCAGAGTATACCTGCCCCCACTCCCCCAGTCTTATTTCTAAATGGCAACAGAGTTTGGTGGTGGTGGTTGTGTGTTTTGTTTTTCTGTAAGTATGTTATTCAATTTGGAAAACTGCAAAGGACATGTTAGTCTTATCCAGATTCTAGGAGGCAAGCAATTAGAATAATGGAACAAAATAACAGATGGTTTCTTTGGGGACTCCATCATCAACCTAAAAAAACACACAAAACACCTTCTTGGGCCCTAGCTGGTTTGGCTTAGTGGCGAGAGCATCAGCCTGCGGACTGAAGGGTTCCTGGTTCAATTCTGGTCAAGAGCACATGTGCAGGTTGCAGGCTCAATCCTTAGTAGGTGTTGTGCAGCAGGCAGCTAATCAATGATTCTCATCATTGATGTTTCTCTCTCTCTCCCTCACCCTTTCTCTCTGAAATCAATTTCTTGGAGAAAAACAAAACACCATCAGAACTTTCAAATAATTAACTCACATCTGATACAGCCTGAGCCAAAGGTCAAGATCTAAACACCAAAGCCCGGTAAACAGTGATGTTTCGGTGAACATGCAAGCTTAGCAAAGGCAGCATTTCCTCTTGCTGTGATAAGTTCTGGGGCAGCTGTCACGAGACCTCACCTATCTAGGAGAATAGGTGGTGACCAGGCTACACAAGTTCCAGCTTCAGAAACCAATTCCTTCTTTTAGAAACTGGAAGAGGGAACTGTAGCCCAGAACTATAATTGTTGGAGAACTTACTCAAAAATCAGACCTGTCCTTCCCCAGAACTTCTAGGGTGTCATAACTGTTGCATAACCTACTTATCAGGAAATGCTTTGGTTACAGAGATCCCTAGAAGTCAGAGCAAAGGTAAAAACTTTACGTAAAAATAAAAACCACAGAAGCCACAAACATCCTGTGACTTGGGCCAATCCTTGTTTAAGTCCTAGAAGAATTCAATTCCATACGATTTAAGAGCATACGGATGTCCTGGACACAGCCTTTTATTAGTATGCACAAGACATTTACAGAACTGCCATTCTCCCTGTGACTAGTGGCTCAGCCTTGAAGAGGCAAGAAGGCAATCTGTCATTCACTAAAGTAACACTGCAACATAGAAAAATCCAACTATCCTGTTTGGGTGTGTGGGGGTGGGGTGGGAGAGGGTCCTCTTAGAAAGAGAACAGCACAAACATGTGTACATATTCCTTCCCATTACTCTTTCTTTTTTCCCCCATAAAGGATCCCTACCCCATAATAGGAAAGTGCACAGCAATAAAGTAAATTTCCCCAAAAAAACAGCTCTCTGTAGATATTTGCTGTAGAAGGTATAAAGCAGGACGTACTGGAAACTGGCCCTTACTGAGAACCTAAAGCACTGGTATTACAACAGACTGAGCCACTCTTTCCTTCAACCTTGCCTGGTCACTGAGGATGGAAGGAGGGAAAATGACACACAGCAGCAAGGCCTTGGGGTTCTGGTGAGTCCTGGTCCACACCCAGCCTCACCCTGTGTGAAGGGAACCATTACCACAAAGGAGCATACACTACCTCCCAGAGAGGGAACTGAGCTAGCAAAAGGAGTCACTTGGGGAGCAGTGGAAGAAGGGAGGGAAAAGGAAGGTTTCCTTTCCTGCACTTCTCAAGCAACTGGAGCAAGAGAAGACAGATCTCAGACATTCTCCTAAACAACCCCATGGCTCTTTGTTCCCCTCCCAACTTTCCAGGTCTGTTGGCAACTCTTAATCTTTTCCAAGCTGGCAGTGCCTCAGGTAATAATTGTTCCAACTGCAGAAAAGATATCCAGTTCCCCTTAAAAAGCATTTCTATGTCAGATTATCTCAACCTGCACACTCTGAGGCAGGTGGGGCTACAGGTAAGGACGCCACCCCCATCACTGAGGAGGAAATTCAAGCGGAGGTTGGTAATTTACCCAAGGTTATGCTAGGCCCCACCCCAGGGAGGGCTTGGAACAGCTGCTCCCTTCACCCTTTCCCCTCCGGACCGGACTGCCTGCACGGAGCCCCAGAGCAGCGCGCGCACAAGCACGCGCGCACACACACACACACACACACACACACACACACACACACACATCTTTCCTCAGCTCAAATCCGAGTCTGCTTCCAAAGCCCCAGTACCACACACGTCCATCTTTGCTGGACTGGAAGAGAGCACTGCACTGAGATCAGGTCTTACCAAGACCATAGAATGGTTCAGTAACAAACCTGGGAAGAAAATGCAGACCTCCGGAACACATTCAATGCTTCCAACTCCACCCACCTCGGCACGCCCGCCTGCTCACACAGTGCTCTCAGCACACGCTCCAACCTTCTCTTACCTTTCACTTCCTTTATCTCCCTCTCGATCTGCGAGTGCCCCGTAAATTGCGTCCACACCCCAAAGTGCCCCGTAACACAGACCCAGCTTAGGAGCTCTTCGTGTGCCCCTCCCCCAACACAACTCTTCCTACTTTCCAACCTTCACAGCACACTCTTCCAGCCCGGAGCTGCACCGTCACACACACACACACACACACACACACACACCCCACACACACACAACGCCTTCCCGGTCTCTCCAGCACAGGACTCCTTCCCAGCGAGCCCTTCCTTTTCCTCACTGAGCTCCCCCCGCATCGGCCTTCCCGCAGCTCCTCCCCGCTCCCAGTCCCGGCTTCGCTGCACCTTCCACCTTCCACCAGTTCTCAGAAAGCTCTCCCAAAACAGTGCCAAATGCTCTCCATCCCCCTGCAGCCTCTCCCACCCGCAGCCTACCTCCCCCTTTCCCTTCAAAAGGGGGCACCAGAATAAACCTCACCCCCTTCAGGAACTTCTTGTTCACAGGTCCCTGCCCAGACCTCCCTCCCCCCACACCTCCCCACACCCCAGCCCAGGTCTCCACACCCTCTCCTTAGCCCCTCTCCTTCCCACGTCCTGACCCTGGTCCTCTTACTACTCTGGCTCCTCAATCCCTTCTCACTCTCCCACCCATCGTAGCCTCCGAGCCTTCGTCCCCTTCAGCACCCCCACCCTGCTGCTGCCACAACCAACCCCCTCCAACCTTCCCTCACTCCGAATGGCCCTCCGCCCTCCGGCTCCTCTCAGACTCCAACCCGTCCTGTCCGGACCCGCAAATTCGACTCCCCCGTCCCTCTTGGCGCCCGGCCCTTCCATGTCGCCTCAGACCCCAATTCCATTTGAGATTCTCCAATCACCTTCTTGGTTTCCCCAACTCCCCGCCCAACCTTCCAATTCCTTCATCGGCTCCCCGAGTCCTTTTCCTTAGACTTCCACATTCCCACTGGGCCGCCAATTGTTTTTTCAGAGTCCCAATTCTTGCTCAAGTTCTGCAATTCTTTTTCAGGACTCCAAACCCACCCCAGATCCTCCAATTCCCATCACAGACCCTCCAATCCCGTCCCAGGACCTCCAACCCCCTTCGCGGCCCCCTCCAGCCGGTCCGGCCCGCAGGCCGCGCACCTTGCGCTGCTGCTTCTCCCAGGCCGGGTCCAACAGCAGGTCCCGGTCCCAGTCGTCTTCCTGGGCCATGTAGTCGCCCATGCTACCCCCGCCGCCGGCGCCGTTGCTCCCGCTGCTGGGGCCGTACTGGTACGACTGGTTCGCCGCGTGGTAGTCCACCATTCCGCCGCCTCTCGCTCGCCCACCAGCCGGTCCGCTCCCGCCTCAGCTCCCGCCCCTCTGCCCGAGCTGCTGCCGCTGCCGCTGCCGCTGCCGCTACCGCCGCCGCCGCTTCAGCTGCTTCAGCCCGCCCTCGGCCCGCGCCTGCGCACTGCCCGCCACGCCTGCGCACCCGCCGCCGCCGCCCTCCCGCGCGCGCGCCTGCAGCCCTGGAAAGCGCTGGGACGCTCCGTCCTCGGGAATCTCCGCGCCTGCGCAGAGTCCACTTTCCCCACCGCCCCCAGGCTCCGGTAGCAGCCGCGCCCCTTCTCCCGCAGGAGCGCGCGAGCGCGGTCTCGTCTGTGGGCGGGACCCGTCGGGAATGATTCACCAGCCTCAGGCCTTAACCCGCTCGGCGGGATTGAAGTCCCACTCCGCAACACAAATTCAGCAAGTATTTATTAAACGCCTGCTGTGTGCCAGACCATGTTGTACGCATCAGCAGAAAACAAGATAGACAAAAATCCTTGCCTTCATGGAGCTACTTTTTAGTAAGGGAAAACAAAATTTTAAGATTACATGGTATGCCGGGACTGGTTTGGCTCAGTGGATAGAGCGTCGACTTGCGGACTGAAAGGTCCCGGTTCGATTCCGGTCAAGGGCATGTACCTTTGTTGCGGGCACATCCCCAGAGGGGGGTGTGCAAGAGGCAGCTGGTCGGTGTTTCTCTCTCATCGACGTTTCTAACTCTCTGTCCCTCTCAATTCCTCTCTGTATAAAATCAATAAAATATATTTTTAAAAAAAGATTATATAGTATATTCGAAGGTGAAACGTGTTATTGAGAAAAATCAAGCATGAGCGTAAATGTGAAGTAGTCAGGGTAGCCTTCGTGGAGAAGGACGTTTGAACAATAATGGGAAGGATTCATCAAATGGACAGTGGAGTTAGGTTAGGTAAACTGGAATAGACACTGGCTGACTGGGAAGGTAGAGGACTTTTTGGACTTCAACATTCACTGAACTCCTATATTGCCAAGCCCGGTTCTTGGGGGTGGGGTGATGGGCATGATAAGCGTGGCTAGTTCTCAAGTGGCTAACATGGTGGACAACAATAAATAAGTTAATGCATACAGATAAGTGACCTTGCCACATTAATAGGAATCTCAAATCCTATATAATAAAGTGGTGATATGCAAATTGACCATCATGGCCTCACACAAGATGGCCACCCCATGTGGTCACAAGATGGCCGGCAGGGGAGGGCAGTTGGGGACAACTAGGCCAGATGGCAGGGTAGGGCAGTTAGAGGTTACCAGGCCAGCAGGGGAGGGCAGTTGGGGGCAACCTTACTGACAGGGGAGGACAGTTAGGCATTGATCAGACTGGCAGGAGAGTGGTTAGGGGTTATTAGGCTGGCAGGCAGAAGCAGTTAGGGGCAATCAGGCAATCAGACGGGCAAGCAGGCAAGCGGTTGGGAGCCAGTAGGCCCAGATTGTGAGAAGGATGTCCCAGATTGGAAGAGGGTGCAGACTGGGCTGAGGGACAACCTCCCCGCACCTTCCCCTCCCTTCCCCCTCCCCACACACACACGAATTTCCTGCACTGGGCCTATAGTTTAAATATATGGAGCTGGCAGGTTTGGCACAGTGGTTAGAGTGTGGGCCTGCAGACTGAATAGTCCCAGTTGGATTCTGGTCAAGGGCACCCACCCAGGTTACAGACTCCATCCCCAGTAGGGAGTGTACAGAAGGCAGCCAATCAATGATTCTCACTCATTATGGATGTTTCTATCTCTCTCTACCTCCCCCTTCCTCTCTAAAATCAATAAAAAATATATTTTATTTTTATTATTTTATTATTTATTATTTATTTATTTTTAATGTAATAAATCTTTATTGTTCAGATTATTACAATTGTTCCTCTTTCCCCCCCCCATAGCTCCCCTCCATCCAGTTCCCACCCCACTCTCTGCCTTACCTCCCCCTCACTGTCCTCATCCATAAGTATATGCTTTTTGTCCAGTTTCTTTCCACACACTCCCACAACCCTTTCCTCCTGAGAATTGTCAGTCCACTCTCTTTCTATGCCCCTAATTCTATTATATTCATCAGTTTATTCTGTTCATCAGATTTTTTTATTCACTTGATTTTTATTTTTTAAATATATTTTATTTTTTACTTTATTTATTTATTTATTTTTTTACAGAGAGGAAAAGAGAAAGAGAGTTAGAAACATCAATGAGAGAGAAGATCAGCTGCCTTCTGCACACCCCCTACTAGGGTTGTGCCTGCAACCAAGGTACACACCCTTGACCAGAACTGAACCTGAGACCCTTCAGTCCCCAGACCGATGCTCTAACCAGCCAAACCAGTTAGGGCTTATTCACTTGATTTTTAGATTCAATTGTGGATAGACATGTATTTGTTATTTATAATTTTTGTCTTTACCTTTTTCTTCTTCTTCCTCTTCTTAAAGAATACCTCTCAGTCCTTCATATAATACTGGTTTGGTGGTGATGAATTCCTTTATATTTTTCTTATCTCTGAGGCTCTTTATCTGACCTTCAATTCTGAATGATAGCTTTGCTGGTTAGAGAAATCTTGGTTATAGGTTCTTGCTATCCATCACTTTGAATATTTCTTGCCACTACCGTCTGGCCTGCATAGTTTCTGTTGAGAAATCAGCTGAAACATTGATCAGCTGCCTCCTGTACACCTCCCATTGGGGATGTGCCCACAACCAAGGTACATGCCCTTGACTGGAATTGAACCTGGGACCCTCAATCCACAGGCCAACACTCTATCCACTGAGCCAAACCGGTTAGGGCATGACCATGGTTTTGAGCTCTATATCCAGTTGTTTCCTTTCCTCCATTTCTTTCATTTGTGATCTGTTTCTTTGTCTCTGCATTTTTGCTGCTTCCCTGAGTTGGTGGAGTAGCTTTGTGTGATAGGTGTCCTATAGGGCCCATCGGCTCAGCCTCTCATTACCTGAGGTGGACACTCTTGGTGAACCCCTTTGTGGACCTGTGTGCTCAACCTTGTTGTAGTTAAGTCTTGATTGTTGTTGGTATCAGTGGGAGGAATTGACCTCCAGGACAATTGGCTGTGAGGATCAATTGTGTCTACGTCGGGAGAACTTCTGTGCTGGAGACACACTTATGGGACAAGACTTGCAAAATTGCAAAAGCCTCTGTGCTCAGCTTGGATGGGGCAGAGTTTCAGGGTGGAGCGACAGCCTTTGCTTCCCATCAGCCCTGCCCTAAGTGATCCCTGGATCTCAGTGTCCCTCAGTAATCACTGCAGGCACCTCTGAGAGAAAACCACCCTTGCCCACTGCCAGACAGTCCAGTTGCTCCCCAAATGAGTCTGGGTTCCCAGAAACACACCTGGAATTGGAGTTCAGCTCAGTCGGGAGCTTTTGTCTCCCTCCTGCTTTAGAAAGCCAGCCACACACTCAGCTGTCCATGCATTCAGCTGCTTATCCTCTCTGCCTGCACATCTCCATACTTCAGCCTTTTGAAGCTCCTCTGAGTCACAATGTGCTTTTATCTTTCCTTCTAGTTGTAGTATTTCCACTCAGCTAGCTTTCCTGTGGTTCTGGAGTGTATCCGTTTTGTCTTATAGTTGTAATTTTGAAATTGTTGTGCAAGGCAGCTGTTTAGGTGTTTACCTATGATGCCATCTTGGTCTCCCCCATAAAAAAATATATATTTTAAAAAGTAAATAAATGATATCCAACATTAAAAAATAATAATAAATAAAGCCGAGCTCCTGATCTTCCTCCCTAAACCTGATCTCCTCTCAGTCTTCCCAGTCTTATGAACGAATCCCCCATTCTTCCAGCTGCACAGGCAACAAACCTCGCAGTCATCCTTGATTCCTCTTTGTCTTCACATCACAAATCCAGTTCTTCAGGAAATTGTCAGTTCTATCTTTAAAGTATATTTAGAATCCACCCACTTTCCCCTGCCCCCATGGCTTCACTTGGTCCCACCTTCATTAGCCTTGTCTAAGCAGCCTCCTCACCAGCTCCCAGCTTTCTCCAGCCCTTTTCCCCTAAGAAGCCAGGGGGAGCCTTTGAACACCTGAGTCAGATCAAGTCCCTCCCTCTTATGCCCAGAACTCTCCTCCCCTTCTTCTCTTCTCCCCTAGGATTACACACAGAAAATGTCAAAATCAAGGAAAGGATCAAAGTGCAGAAGTCTCTCCTGCCCTGGACCAGCCCAGCCTTTTAAAGAAATGAGACTCCTGTGGCATTAGCCAGACCCCCAGGTCTTCCACTTCCTGGTCCCCATTTCCTCTCCCAGCTCACCTCCCACTTTGCCCCTTGCTCTCTGAGCTCCTGCCCCATTGCAGGCCTCCTTGCTGTTTCTGGAACACAGCAGGCCTGGTCCAGCTTCATAGTCTTTATACTTGGTGATACCTTGTTACCACTGTCTATATCACTTTCCCTAGATACTGAATCCCAAGGGCTCACAGACTCCTCTCCTGCAGGTCTCTGAGGCAACATCACCTCCCCAGTGAGATATTTCCTGACCAAATTATTTAAAATAGCATCCCACATTTTTCCTGCCTATTTTCCCCCAAAACCATGGATTACCATTTAATACATTACAGGATTGACTGATACTGATTGCATTTATCTGTTCTTTCCCAAGAATGTCATCCATGGGGTAGTGCTTTTTGTTTTGGTCATTGCTGTATCCCTTAGTCTCTGAAGCAGTATCTCACACAAGATAGAAGTTTAATAAATCCTAGGTGAATGAATGGATTTAAAACAATGATGAGAAATTTGAATTTTTAATTGAAACCTGATTGATATAAATTTTATTCTAAATGCAATGGGAAGTTAAGGGAGGATTTTAAGCAGGGCTGGAATCTGATTCAGTTGTGCAAAGGGTCCCCCTGGTTACATGAGGGGAACAGACTGTAGAAGGTGGATTGGGAACAGGGAACCCAGTGAGGAGGCTGTTACAATGGTCCAGATAAGGCTGAACAGGACCAGAGGCTTGGAGGAAGAGAGAGCTGTGGAGGGGTAGGATTTTTGGAAAAACAAGAGCTGACAGGATTTACTGACATGAATTTGGGGTTGGGGAGGACAGAGATAAGAAAGAGTAGTCAAGACTCCAGAAACTCCAGGTTTTCTACT